ACCCCAAGAGACTTATAACCCCTGGCTGGGTGAGCCCAGCTGTGTGTGGGCTATCTGCCCATCTCCAGGCACCCATAGTGTCTGGGGACCTGCAGGGCTAGGCTAGGACCGTGTGCCCTAGGAATGGGGGGGTCACAAAGTGTAGACTCCTCCATAGACTAGGGGCCCCACCCAGGAGCACTTAAGTGGAGGTTGTAGTGAAGGATGTTTCTGTCTGTGTGTCTGTCCCACACATAACCTGAACAATACAGCTCTAATGCAACCCCACACCCAAGGATACATGGGGTGCCTGCTTCTGCTCTGGAGCCAAAGGCATTGGGGGTGGGGAGGCAATTCTGTCACCCCAGTGGGGGTAGGGGCCTTGGGAAGCAGACATTGTAGGGACAGATGCCCGGTGCGTGGCAGGGTCCTCCCTTGGGTTAGCCTTCTGAGGAATGCTCCTCACTAATAGGCAGGCTAGGGGCCAAATCACAAATACTCCACATTTTTGGCTACTCAAAGGCCTGGCTGGAAACAGTCACTGTCTGTTTTATTCTGTAGAACTCTCGAGTTTTCATCTGAGTGCCTGTGGGCAGTGGAGGGACTCAGGAGACTCCAAGGTAGGAAGGTGGCCGGCTTTCTGCACACTGCAGCCACCTCCCAGGCCAAGCTGGGCCCGGCTCCCATCCAGGGTCGATCAGAACCTCTGGGAATGCTGAAGGCCACGCCCAGAACACGAGGACAGGACTCCAGGCACATCCGTGTTGGATGACGCTGGGGGATCCCAGGCCTGCCCTAGGGATCCCAGTGCTGATAGACAGGGTCCCAAGACACTGAGGGATGCTGTGTGAAGAAACTTCCAGAACCTCCTCTCTAAAGACTGTCTGGCCTCTGCCTTCATCATGTGCCACAGGAAGAAAACCACAAGTGAGTCTGTCCCAGGGGAAGTATTCAGTGCACAGGAGCAAGGGCCTCACCTGCCTCCCTATGTCCCTCATGGTGAGGTCCCCGCCATGCCATCATGCATCTCTCTGGGCCAAGTGCCACAAGTTCACTACTGCTGACTAGACAGCATCCAACCCAGGTCACAATATGGTAACCTAAAGTCATAGTGGGGTCGCCCAATGCCACAGTGAGGTAAGCAAAGGTCTTCCAGTGAATTCAGCCAATGTCACAGTGATGTCACCTGAGGTCACAGTGAGGTGGCTCAAGGTCCATGAGTGAAGCCACTTAGTCACAATGTCACCCAAGCTGGTAGTGGGGTTAAGGTCACAATGGGGTGATCCAAAGTCACATGGAAAAACCACCCAAAGTCACAATGTCACCCACGGTCATAGTATGCTTTTTTCTCTCCCCCTGAACCCCAGGCTGAAGATGACAGAGTGGGTCCCAAGTACTGGCCTCCCTAAGACAACTTCAGACCTTCAGGTTGGGGATCATGAGTCCCTGTTCCATGCCAGGCCTGCCCAGCCCCTCAAAAGTCCAACTCCCAACACTTGGCCATGGCAACATCCCTGAGCAAGCCCAAAGGCATGGGGGCCAGGCCTTGTAAAGGGCCTGCTAGGGGTCAGGACCCCATCTGCAAGACGGGACTCAAGCCACAGCCCCCACACCTGCTTTCCCACTGACTCTACTCTGCCACAAACAGAACCCACATGGCAGGGCTGTGAGGCAGGCTGGGGCAAGCAGAGAGGCAGAAGGGGGCTAGGGTGGTTCCCAGCCAGGCTAGGCCAAGGTCAGGTGTTCTCAGCATCAGTCTAAGTCAAAAAAGGCAATGAGGCTGAGGGCCAGATGTGTGGGGTGTGACCTCTGGAGGCATCCTGGTCTGTGGTCTGGATGCTCTCTGGAGAGTTAGCAGGTGAGCTACTGTCCACAGGTAAGGGACAGCCATGTTGGCAGTGTGGTTTGGAGACTCACCAGGGCCTAGCCTCGCATATGAACACCCTCTAGCTGGCTCCTGGGCCCCAAGTGAACCTATCCCATTCACAGACCTCCATGGCCAAGAGGCCTCATTGGTACCTATTGAGTTCCCCCAGGCTTCCTTGGCTGCCTCAGCCCAGATCCACAGCCTGGGGGCATTGCATGGGTGAATTCACCAAAGCTAACATGCCTGTGTGCCAAGAGATGTATAAATACCTTTGCCTCCGGGAAGACAGTTCTGAAGTTCCTGAGGGGCTGGCTCCATTTCCTTCAAACTCTTGCTGCCCAGCCACTTACCCATTCTTTAGCCTCTGCTTTGGGGGCCCCCAGGCTAACACACCCCAGGAGCCTAGTGAGAAGCTCCCATCTCTGATCAAGGACCCATCCTTATTGGCTCCTTCACCCACATTCCAGTCCTCTTAGAACAGTTGTATAGAGCAGTTAGGCACAGGCTGACTCAGCCAGCATGTGGACTCACCTGGGCTATTCAGGAGGACCCTGCACTTTGTTAGGTGAACAGAGGTCACCCAGCAGAAGCTAGGTCTCAAGACTGATGGTGGGGAAACTGGGACCTACAGGAGACCTACCCTGACTTTTCTCTTCGCTTCTGCAGTCTGATCTGCCTTCTCACCCCTTTTCTGGCATCTGGGAAAGGTCATGTGTTGGTGGGGGCAGGTACACACCCCTGCATAGAGGCAGGGCCACCCCCTGAGGCTTTCTAGTCTCAGGCAGAGCCCAGGTTCAAAGCACCAAGGAAACACATGGCCCGGAGCCAGGGTGGGTGAGACTGCTATCAGTCTGAGAGCCACAAGGCTGTGGAACACGGAGAGAGCCTAGAGGGGAGGCCATGGGCAAAGGGTGGAATTAGAGAGGCAGCCCCAGGCTGGGACAAAAGTGAACATCAGCCCTCCCTCTTCCTGATGCCCCCCACCCCAGATTCTAGGTCCCAAGCTAGAGAACCCCAACAAGGGCAGAACAGGTCTCACAATCCCAGTGTTAGTAACAAGGTGGTGCCTCCAGGCAGATGCAGGAGCTTCTCTCCACAGGAGGTGCATCACTGCTTGGCAAACCAAACACCCAAGAGGGTTCTGTGCCTCTGCAGCTATGGGCCAGATGATAGCAACTGGTGTGACATGCCCCCAAAGTCACAGGCAAAAGACACTGGACCGACCAGGAGGATCAGGTGTGTCACTAGCATGAGGCGGTAGCTCTACCTTGCAGACACACAGAAGGGACAGGGGGCCCTCACTCAAGGTCATAGGGCTCATGGGAGAAAAGCCCTAGGTCATAGGGTATGCTCAAGGTCATAGGAAAAATCATCAAGGTCACAACTCTGGATGAAATCTTAAGATCACTGCTCAGAAGGAAACCTCAGTCACAGGAGAAAATATCAAGGTCATAAGAGGAAAGCTCAAGGTCCTGAACCTCAAACAGAATGTTCAAGGTCACAGTAGGAACCATCAAGATCCTAGGAAGAAACAAGGTAAGGAGGAAATCTGAAGGTCTTGACACAAAGGTCAATGTCGTATGGCTCAGAATAAAAGCAAGGTTACAGGAGGGAACCATCAAAGCCACACCCTGGAAGAAACCAAGGTCACAAGAAAAGTAGTCAGAGCTCAAGGTCATGGAACTGTCACAGTCACAAGGAGGAAACATGGAATTAACCAAAGGAAATTTTGGTCTCAGGGTTCAAAGGAGGGAAACTCAAGGTCAGAGGAATAAATTCCAAGGTCACGGGAAGAAACACCAAGGTCAGAGCTCAAGAGAAAAGTCTAAAGATGGTAATTATCAAGATTCCATGAAAAAGCATCAGACTAACAGGAAAATTCAGTTACAGGGCTTTAAGGAAGAAAGACCAAGGTCATAGAGCCCATCAGAGGAAAGCTCAAGGTCACCAGCTCAGCCCACACCCAGGTACAACTTGGGGCCAGAGTTGGGGAGGGGCAGGCAGGAGCAGAAACACCAGCAACAGGGCAACAGGTAGCAAAGTCTGCAGTCCGCCCACCCACCCACCAAGGAAGCACAGCCCACTGAGAGGGTAGGTCCAGGCCCTCACCTGTGGGATCAGGTGTACAAATAAGTGCTCCAATCAGACCCACAGTCCACTTCCTAGCAGCCATCAGGGCTGGAATGCCACAGCCTGTGGGATTTCCCATGAGCACCAGGCTTCTTGCTCCCATGGCTGTAACTGACACACCACTGGTCAAGTGGCTTTGCATAGATCAGCCAGGAATGCCTCAGGTCTGGGCCTCCTCCAGCTGGCTCTGGGCCAGGTCACTCACCTGTACAGTGTCCAACTAGAGCAGTGCAGGTGATTCTCCTTACAGACACTGTCGACGAGAAAGCATGACAGCCAGCCTACAGGCAACAGGGGCCCAAAGGCTGACGGCCACTGAGCCTATGAGGCCACAGGAACTGGCTGGCTCCAGGCTGCCCACGCTGACCCATCCACTGAGTGGCAGGCACTACACTCACGGCTGGCTGTAACTCACTGGCGTCTGGCCGCTGACATGTAGAAGGTATTGTCTTCAACCTCCCAGGTGGGATGGTTCACTTTGGAGCCCAGGACAGCCAACCCGTCAATTCTCCTGTCCCAATTCTCTGATCCCCCCGACACACCAGCACCCATTTTCACCCCAAAATCCACCCAGGTGATAGGGCAGAGCGGGGAATGGGGCGACTCCAGAAAACAATTAGAAAAACAGGACCACAAATGCCTCTGACATGCATGAAATTTGTTGATGTTTTTTTCTTTTTCCTCTTTTTAGTTCAAAATAAAAAATATATATATAGCAGGCTCTCAGGTATATAAACTGATAATATTAAAAATACAAAGTTCACCTTTACAAAACAAAACGAAACAAAACAAGGAAACCACACACACACACAATTCTGTTTAACAAGTGAAACTCAACATCTTACCAAAAATAATCTTGACCGCGCCCCCACACTGCCACATAAGCCTTTTTAGAAATGGCCAGGCAGTGCAAGCAAGGGGACCCACATTCAAAAGGCTCCTGCGTAGTTCTCTCAAATGGCTTAAACTGGAAGATAACATTAAAAGGGCAGAGGAACACAGGAAGCCAGAAGCATGTAGGAAATGATGTATATAGGTAGGTATACCGTGTTTATTTTAATACACCTCATTAGTTTGGCTAGGAAAAAAAATAACCGTCGCGCTGTCCCAACTTACAGCAGCCTCATGTGTTATTGGCAAAAACGTCATCCAAGAGATTTAAAAAAAAAAAAAAAAAAAAAAAAAAAAGCTAGGCAGAGTAAAAAGGAAAGGCTTAATCACTTTATGGTGTAAAAAAAAAAAAAAAAGAAAGAAAGAAAAAAAAAGAAATTCCACGTAAGGCTCTCGGGAAGGTCCTGTGCAGACTCAGGCGCTACGGCTGGTGAGGTGGCTGGCGAGGCGGCGGCGTCAAGGCCTGCTGGCGACTCCCCAGTCACTCGGCTTCCTGCGTCCCGCGGAGCTGGCAGGCTGCAGCATCCCAAGCAGGCTCCGAGCACATCCTCAGCAAAAAAGCACCTGTGCGTGCGGGCAGAATCCAGGGCGGTAGCCAGCCTTGGGCGCCACGCGTCTGTCCTGTGGGGTGGCCTTTCTGCCACCGGCTTCAGTCTTTTCTCGAGCCCGATTTTTTGTCTGTTGTGTTTTTGTGGTTTTGTTTTCGCTCTGTGACAAGGAAGCTTTCTCACCGTCTCTCCGAGTGCTACAATACTTGCTTTCATGTCACACTGAACAAACGGACACTGTTGCTTTGTTCTCGGACACAGTTTTTCACGGAGGAGAACAAAGACCGCACATTGGCAATGAAGCACCGCACATAGTATGTTCAGGAATGTCACACGCCACGTACATCTGTGTCCTGGGAAAGGGTGGCCGGCTCATCTCACCTCACATCTGCAGGAAGAGACGGAGAATTGAGATTGCAACCAGGTACAGAAAACACCTGAGCAGCTTGGGTCCATCAGATGCACACAATTTAAGTCTTAGGATTTGCGCTAGCTACGTCATTAAAAAAATCAAATCAAATCAAATTTGCCAAAGTTAAGAACTGGGTCTAGGCTTGTTGCATTTTACAGAAGAGCCACGCTCCCATTGCACAGATGGAGAAACTGAGGCACCAGAAGTTTGTCTGGTTGGTTTTTTTTTTCTTTGCTGAAGCTCTGACAGATACTTTGGGCCATGAAGCAACTGGAAGAATGGATAACATCAGCTAGGCAGCAACCATGGGGGTTGGGGGGGGTTCTCTATGATCAGGCAGACCTAGTTTAAATTCTTTTTGTGGTTGTTCTGAGGTACTGAACCCAGGGCCTTGCACTTGGCAGGCAAACACTAGCTAGCATGGAGCTGCACCCGAGTCCTACAATCAGTCACCACTGTCTCTACTCACAGTATTCACAGCCTGGGCACATGCAGCTATAGGAACACCTGCTCACTTGGGGGTCTCTGTCAACAACAGGTCTGTCAGAGCCACATGAAGCAACCTCAGGGACCTGCCAGAGGGAGACACTTGCTCCAGGCAGGCGTCCCCAGCCACACTCACTCGGGAGCCAGGGTTCTCAGACACTCTATCTCTGAGGACTCTCTTGCCCAGAACAACTGTTTATCTTGGATGCCCCAGAGTCCCACGTGCCAGGAGGAAGGACCGGCCAGACAGGCTCCAGCCCTCTGGGCCAGACAAGCTGACACTCAGGACGGGTCTGGGAGGCAACATACCTCCCTTACATTCCCTATGCTTCCGGGGAAAAACAGACGTCACTGGGTGAGTTTGAGACAAGAATGCCAAAGAAGTTCTCTGGCCCTTCTTTTTTCCCACCTGACTCTTCCAGCTTGGAACATGAGCATAACTTCAGAAGCGTTAGCAGCAACCAGGGCCATAACGTAATTCTGAAGACAGAAGCCATAGTCCCAAATAGAAAGGGACACCAATGACACCCTTCACTACGGCTCCTGCTCTGGCCTCCTGATCTTACACGGGTTAGGAACTTTCCCTTCTTCCCAACCCTGCTGCTGCTGGATACAAAAGTCAACTGCCCTGTCTATTTATGAAACTCCTCAAACTCACCCAGCCTCCTAGAAGCCTTACCTGGCACCTGTAAAGCCTCAGTCCTTTCATCTGTCAGTGGGGTGAGCAGCCGCCCTAGATGACCCCAGCAGAGCTATTAGAGCCCCCACCCTTCCCACCATGGGGTGCTTGGCTACCTGATCAATGACCAAGAGAAGGGCAAAGCTGTAGCTGCGAGGAGACCCAGCCCAGCAGCCCCCAAAGCACACAGAGCCTTGAGCCAATCAGGGCCCAAGGAAGCTGATTTGCTGGTGTGACCAGCTGATTGTGTCCCAGCCCTGAGAGGGAGTCCCCTGCACACCCGGCGGACAGGGCCTACCTGGTCAGCCGCCTTAGGTGGGTTTTAACCTTTTTCTTTTCCGCTTTTTACCTGATTCCCTACGTCTTCCTGTCAAGGAAAGGGCAGGGAGGGTAAGTGCCCTGGGGTGGATAGCCACAGCAATAAATACCGGAGCTGTTTGTCTTTAAGAAAGCAAGCCCGATCCACCCTGGCATAGAGCATAGATACTTCCGGGTCTCTCTCTGTACCTAGACTACCTGAGAGCTGGCAATACACAGGTGTGCTGGGCAGGGTGAAGGTCAAGACCCTGGGCAGCAAGGTGCAGCCTGTACCCAGGGTCCACTGTCTCACCTGGAAGGGAAGGGGTGCAGGCACAGCTCACCTGACCCCAGCCCTGAAGGCCAGCATGGACACCTGGGAAATCCAGGCCCATCTCACTCTGGGGAACCAACTTTCCCAATATTCTCTGGCTGGCTTGGTTAGGCCCAAGGAGGCAGATTCCCACTTCCCCATCCCCCAGGAAACCCTCACACGGCATGGACCAGTAGTGCTCACTCACCCGGCTCCTCCTCCCGGTGGTCTGGGTTCAGGTTGGAGGTTGCGCACGCACACTCCAGGTGTTCCTCTAACCTCACCTGGACCTCTTTCAATTTTGGCTTCTTTCTGACGTATTCCACTTTGGCCACCTGCCGAAGGTGCAAAGCCAGATGTCAACACCATGTGCTTGACGGGTGGTACCTGCCTGACTCACCCCAGCCTGGGGACTCTGACCTCCAACCTCTCCTGGCTATCTCCTCTCAAACTCAGTCCCATTAACATTTGAAATAAACCCAAAGATACCAGGCCCATGTCTGTCATCCTAATATTCTGGGGAATTGGGATTAGAATTGGAAGTTAAAGAAGCCAGCCTGTGCTATAAGGAAAACAGTCTCTTTAAAAAAAAAAAAAAAGGGGGGGGGGAGGGTGGCTCACTGGGTAGAGTGCTAGCCTACCATGTACAAAACCCTGGGTTCCATCCCCAAATACGTCTCCACATTCCACAACAGTTCTCAGGGATCCCTACCCCCTTACTTCTCACTGTTTACTGGGGAAACTGAGGCTATAAAGGGTGTACAAAGTCCTAAGTTACATCCCCAGCATTAAACAAACTGAGCATGGTGGTACACACCTGTAATCCCAGCTGAGGAAGAAGCAGGAAGATCAAAAACTCAATGTTATCCTTAGTAACACAGAGTCAAGGCCAAGATGGATTACAGGAGACTTGCTTCAAACAAAAACAAAATCCCAAAGGCTCAGATCTGAAGGGTGTTACCAAGGCATAGGATGGGTGGGTTGGGCATAGGATGGCTGAGCACGGGACCTAGTAGAGACTTCTATGTCTGCTTTACTAATGAAAACAGGGCAGGGTTGGGGCTAGGGATAGGGGTGCAGTGCAAAGCTTGCTGGATGAGGGGCCTCACTCAGAGCCACCTCCTCCCTTCCATCCATAGTAGTCTCCCTGGAGACACAGTAATCCACTTCCAGGTGACAGGAGAAATTTAAACTGGGTTCTAGAATCCAGGCAAATTCTTCTCTGGTTCTGACCTGATGTTGGCCACATGGGGACCACTCTTTCCTGTGAGGTACAAGGCTTGTCACTCCCATAGAGACTGGATGGGGACCATACATGGTAGGTCCCAGAGATTAAAGGAGGCAGAGACTGTGGTGCTATGACTCTGGGGACAGAGAACTCAAGAGTGAAACAAACCTCATTAGAAAGCCTCCCCAATGAAGTGTCCATCCACACAGTCTACCTGAAAACCCCATCCGAGGCACCCAGCTCCCAGTTCCACAGCACAGACCTGGCCCCCAGGCCCTCCTCAGGGAGTCACAGGAGGAAATGGCCCAGTCTAGCTTGAAGCAGATCCAAAGCCTGAATTCCATGTGCTCCAGAATGGGGTGCCACAGACCCATCCCTGGTCCTATAAAGCAAGCACCCAATACTATAGCCTGTCATACCCTGGACAGCACTCTGCCATGAACATGTAACTCTGCCCATGCCACACAGATTGTGATACACACAGCCTCCATCTCGAGTATACAATTCCACCCTACCTCCAAACACATATGGCAACCATTTAACCCACCATTGGGGTGAGCCACACCAGGAGAGCCCAGGGCTCCTTCCCAGCATAAGGATGTCAGGTTAGAGAACTCTCCAGGCCATCTCCTTTGGAGTCCAAACACCAGCACCCATTTAGCCTTCCTGTCCACCCAGCAGGGAGGTAGGATTGTCACCTCCATGGATAGAAAAGGAAACTTGGGCAGATGAAGCCCTCTCCTGAGGTGACCCTGACAGCATAGTTGGCAGCCTATCCTAATCTCAATGTCACCTAGAGCATGTGCTAGAGAACAGCCATCTCCCAGGCCTGCAGAGCTGCATGCAGTCAGCACCAAATACGTTTCCACATTCCAGAACAGCCCTCGGGGATCCCCTCCTTACTTCTCACCATTCACTGGGGAAACTGAAGCTATAAAGGTGGGGAACCCAAAGCTATAAAGGGTGGGGAACCCATTGTAGGTGGCCCAGAGCACCTAGAGGGGGGACATCTTGGTGTTCAGTGGTAGGAACAAGGCCTAGCATATCCAGAGTGGGGGAGGTGGGGAGACAGACTATTCCCCTCTTGTCTCCTGGGGCTACTGGAGTCCAGCAACCAAGAGGCCCCAGGCAGGGGTCAGGCTTGTACCAAGGCCAAGCAGCACGCACAGGCGGCCCACTTCACAGCACTGGAGAATAGACTGAGCCAGACTTTGCCACGGCTACCTTAGCTGCATTAATGGTTAACATGGGTGCAAAGGGTGCCGGGTGCCCGGCAGGCATATAAAGTAGTATGGGGTGCCCCAGGTGTGAATATAGCCTGCCAACTATGAGCTCAGTGTATAGGGCATGGGGCCAGGGGTCAGAGGCCAGCTAGGAGGTTTCACTACATCAGGAAGTGGGAAAGACAACACCAGGGGCATCGAGGGCAGGGAGGGCAGGGTGGGCCTTGCCCTGGGAGCTGCTTGCTGGCAGGGGCTCTGTGCCAGACTCCTGTGTTCAGGGGGCCTCGGTGGAAATTTGGCTCAGCCTGCCTATCCCAGGTTGGAGTCACTACAGAAGCAGGATGTTGACGCGTGTGTGGGCTGTGCTGTCAGATACCTCCAACATGACCTGTGTAATGGGGGCAGTGGTCATACCCATACAGGTAGCTGATGAAGGACAAGCAAGGTCATCTTTGCAAGAAGCACCCAAAAATCAGCTGGGCATGGTGGGACAGGCCTGGAATCCCAGCACCCAGGAGACTGGGGCAAGAAAATACATGTGAGTTCAAGTCCAGCCTGGGCTACTTCTTTTGAGTTCAAAGCCAGGCCGGGCTATAGATTTCAACTCCATCCTGAACTACAGAGTGAGTTCCAGGGCAGCCTGGGCTGTTACACAGTGAGATCAAGGCCAGCCTGGGCTACAAAGTTAGTTCCAGACCAGCCTGGGCTAGAGCAAAACCCTGTCTAAGAAACAAAAATAAGTGGGACAGGGCCACACTGCAGAAGCTGGCCTCAGCAGTTATTGATATTCATAAAGGATTCCTTAGTAGACTCAGTCTTCAGAAAACCTTCAGGAGCCAGTCTTTAGGAATCAACCTTGAGGAATCGGCCCTCGGGAAGCCTGCATGTCCCCAGAAGCTTCCACACTGTGCCCAAGTTCCTAAGCTCAATAATGTGGTCCCACCTCCCAGGGAGCAGAAGGGCACTCCCCACTGTCCCTCCTTTAAAAAGTCCTGGGGGGATGGGAGAGTTCTCCCCAAAGAAAAAACAAAAAAAGTCCTAAGAGAAACTGGGGGGTTGGGGGAACCCTGTACCTTGGCCATAGACCGAAACTTCAAGAGCTGTCCCCAGCCCTTGACTCAGCAAACTTCAAGTTCACAACACAGCTAAACTCAGGTCCAGATAGCCATACCAGTGCAGGACTGACAGCCTCCTTTGACTCTAGTAGAGAGAGATCCTAACCAAAGACCCCAGAAGGCATGTACTCTGCCCCCCTCACCACAGCCTCAGAAGTGGGGACCAGGTGGGCTTTACAAGGCCCTGAACCCCGACATTTGGGCAGGGCATTTGGCTTGGTTTTAGCTGCAGCTCTCCAAGCTGCCCAAGCCCTTAGCTCCCCCCATGGGGTTGATACGAGAGCCAGACCCCAGATACAGAGCAGAGGTCCGTGCAAGGGCACGTGATGATCCACTCCAGCCTAGCCCGGGAGCCCCCCCACCCCACTTACCCAGACAGGCCCCTATTTATCAAACAAAAGCCAACAGCAGCTTATGATAGCACCTGCAGAGAGAATTCGAGGATTCCAGCCCTTCCGCCACCTCTGTCTGGCCAGGAAATGGCTACATTTTTTCCCCCAAGAACATGTTACGAATATTAAATTCTCCAAAACCACATCCATGAGAGCAAAGAATAAAAACACAGATGGTGATATCCTGGGCACCCCACGCCAAATGAACCAAGTGCTATGCACTCCCAAGTTCATTCTAGGATGCCACCACCCAGCCAGGTCACTGTCCCATCATCTCTACTCCAACCCCGAAGAGGGCTTGTCCTGACAGAGAGCCTCGCAGAACAGAGCTGTGTACAGTGATTCCTGCAGGTCAGCTGTGTGGATTTGATTACAGCCTGTTTCATAGACGATAAATCGAGCACAGTCAAGCAGGGGGCTTGCCCAGGGTCCCTCAGCTCTATGCCTTGCACATCTCTCTGCCTTTGAATGGCCTGGACTTAAAAAGGCCACACAGTATAGCCCCAGAGACCAGGGGCCTTCCCAGGGCAAGCCAAGAGGACCAAGAGGGCCTTAAGTTCTGGCTCCACAAGCAGCCCACCCACATCCACTGAGGAGGTGGGGATAGAGTCCTGTCCCTCCTGGCTGAAGGCCCCACTGTATCATTGGACAACTGGACAGAAAGACTCAAAAAAAAAAAAAAGGACTCTAGGTTTGAGGGCTCACAGCCTGATGGGTACCATGCACCCCTGGGGTATCTTTAGCTGCCATGCTGACCCCAGCCTCCTTGGCCCCCAAGCCCTTCACTAGGGAAGGGACTCTGAGAATCATTCGTCTGGAACTAAAGCCACCTTTCCCAAACCCCTACACAGGCCAACTGATAAAGCCCTACTTGGACTCTCCCTAGAATATAGCTCCAGGTTGTACCCAAGTTGGGGGGCATAATGGACACCTTCCTTCTAGAAGCTAAGCTGCTCCAAGTTGGGGCTGAGCTATGAACTAGCTTAGCAGGCAGGTCAGACAGTGGCTCAGAGTTGCCCTGACCCCTGGCCCCTTGGCAACACCATCTAGTGTAGACAGGGCAGGCCTTGGTTCTATCCAGGCCAAATACCCCAGGCATCTCCATGAGTCAGGCCTGACCTCCACTGTGCACATGTCTCTCTCTAGCCTCTACTACACACAACCAGGGCCAAACACCATGTGCTGAACACAACAGGCAAAGCACAGGAAGTCAACTAGGGGGAGGCCCCTGGCACCCTCTCCCAACACCCAGTAGCTAATGGTGGCCTCAAAACCCAAACAGGGCAGATGCGGGGCACAGGCCACAATAAGGACTTGTGTCCTTGTGTCCTCAGAGAGGAAATCATGGCCCCCACACAATAACCTGGATGCTGAGCCAGGACAGTAGCTGGGATATCCAGTCCTTGAACTTCCTGTAACACCCAGCACATCCACCAGACAGATACTTGGGACCTGGGGACCACTAGGGAGACACTGGCTGAGCCTGCACTGGACTGTCCATCAGCCAAAACCATATCAGGGACCATTCTCAGTCCTGTGATAGAAGCCAGGCCTGGAAGTTAGCTGTCAACCTAGCCAGTACTTGGGAGGCTGAAGCAGGAAAATTATGAACTCAAAGTCAGCCTGGGTAACTTAAGTGAGAACTTGTCTCACAACAAAAAGTACAGAATGCTGAACTGGGGCATGCTGCTCTATGATAGAGCACCTACTTAGAATCCCCAAGGACTGGGGGCATGGCTCAGTGGTAGAACACCTGCGTAGAATCCCCCAGTGAGGGGCTGAGGACAGGAATCAATGGTAGAACACCTGCCTAGAATCCCCACCTGCCTAGAATGTCCCAGTGAGGGGGCTGGGGGTGTGGTTCAGTGGTAGATCACCTGCCTAGAATCCCCCAGTGAGGGGCTGAGTGGTAGACAGGACTCAGTGGTAGAGCACCCACCTAGAATGAATGCCCCAGTGAGGGGCTGGGATTGTAGCTCAGTGTTAAAGCTCCTGTCTAGAATCCCCCAATGAGGGGCTAGGGTGTGGCTCAGTAGTAAATGCTTGCCTATGAGAGGCCCTGGGTTCAATCCATAGCACTACATTAAAAAAGAAAAGAAAAAGAAAAGTAGAAACTGGAACCGGCACTAATAGCACTTGTAACAGGGTGGATGTAGCTGCTGTCAGCCTCCCCACCAGCCCACTCCTGCTGACCCCATGTCTACTTGGCTCTGCGCTGACTTCCATGAAGTCTGGGACTTCAGGCCCATCTCCCTCCATCCAGGTCAACACCAGCCTCCACCCCAAACGCTACAGGCCTGGCCTCCACAATGGGGCCCCTGTTCCACTGACCTTGTGTCCCTTTTGCCAGAGCCCACACTGTCCAGGGCCGGATGTCCCCTCCCAGCTTTGGGTGGGTGGCAGCGGGGAATCACCCTTAGGAGGGAGTGTGGGAGGGCCTGGCTCAGGCAGTGTTGAAGTTGGTCCCTTTCTACTTGACCAGGACCCTGCTGGGCAGACGAGACCCCTAGGGTAAAGGTATAGTCACATATACAGAGAAGGAGTGATCAACCCCAGGAAACACCAGGCCAGTGGGAATGGACTCTCCCTGTCCCAGGGGCTAGAGACCCCAAGGACCTCCAAGTCACACATACCCCCGACACCTTGCCACACTACCTGTCCCTCCAAGTGAGTCTCAGGCACAGAACAACCATTCCTAAACCCACATTGTAACACCTCATCTAAACCATGTAGTAGCTCACTCATATAATCCCAGCAGTCAAGAATCTGAGGCAGAAGGATTGCCTTGACTTTAAGACCAGCCTGGACCCAGTATGGTGGCACACACCTTTAGTCCCAGCACTTGGGAGGCAGAGGCAGGCAGATCTCTGTGAGTTCAAGGCCAGCCTTGTCTACATAGTGAGTTCCAGGCCAGTTGGAGCTACAGGGAGACTCTGTCTCAAAAAACAAAAAGAGACCAGCCTGAGCTACATAGTTCTAAGACTGCCTAGGCTATCCAGGATCATGGTAAGCAGGACAAGACAGACCAATAGCCAGCTAGACAGACAAACAGAAAGGACTATCCTAAATTAAATCTACCATTTACACCCAAAAGAAAAAAGAACAAGATGGTGGGTTTGCCCGAGACCCTTCAATACACCACCGAGTGGGAACCCTGAGGCCCAAGGGAAGACTAAGGCTGGATCAAGTCACATGATCTGGGCTTGAGTCAACCCCAGCATCCCCACCATGCACAGCCCCTGTGGATGGAGAACAAACTCAAGTACTCTGGGGTCCCTGGTGTCCAGTCCTAGAGATCACAGTAATAGCATATGGAGTTTACTGATTCAAGCCCAGAACTCAGGGATCAAGCCCTGACAGAGTCAATCCCAAATATAAGTGCCGGGTCCTGGGTCACAAACAAGCTGCTGAACATAGGCCCTTACCAAGAAAGTTCTGATACTTTCTTTTCTCCAGTGCCAGGGGTTGAGGCAGGTAGGAGGTTAAGACTTACTAGAGTGGAAGTCAAGCGTGGTAGCACATGCTTTTAATCCCAGCACTACTCTGGGAAGCGGAGGGAGGTGGAGGCAGGCATATCTCTCTGAGATGAAACCAGCCTGGTTTACATAGTTGAGTTCCAGGCCAGCTGTGGCTACGGGGAAATCATGTGTCAAAGAAAAAAAAACAAAAACAAAAAACACCCCACAAAACACAACACAAAACAAAAAACCGAAAAAACATTACTGGGTGGAAGAACGGAGTCTGAAATCAATCCTAGGGACCCTTCACTTGGGAGAAACAGCCTAATTACAGAAGCCAGGCTGAGCCAGAGGTAGATGCTAGGCTCATAGGCACTCTAGAAATCATGTGTCAAAGAAAAAAAAACAAAAACAAAAAACACCCCACAAAACACAACACAAAACAAAAAACCGAAAAAACATTACTGGGTGGAAGAACGGAGTCTGAAATCAATCCTAGGGACCCTTCACTTGGGAGAAACTGCCTAATTACAGAAGCCAGGCTGAGCCAGAGGTAGATGCTAGGCTCAGAGGCACTCTCGTGCCTGAGCCGTCTAGATAAGGGGGTGTCATGGTTGACTTCAGTTGTCAATTAACACACCTGGGAAGAGGAAACTTCAGTTGGAGAACTACATGTCTGGGAGGCATTTTCTTGATTGTAGAGTAATGTGAGAGGGCTCAACCCACTGTGAGTGATGCCACCCCTGGGCAGGTGGTCCTGGATCATGTAAGAAAGCAGGCTGAGTACAGGACACAGGAGGAAGTCCATAAGCAGCATTCCTCCATGGTTTGTGCTTCAGCTCATGCCTCCACGTTCCTGTTTAAGTTCCTGTCTTCGCTTTCCTCAATGAAGGACTATAAGGCGAAACAAACCTCTTCCTTCCAAAGTTGCTTTTGGTAAGTGAGGACAGCTAACCAAAATGGGGCCGTGCTGCCCACCTCTCCACCCAATGGGCACATATTCAGTAAAAGGCTTCAACCAGTTAACTAATAGACTGTTTTTAGACTACAGGACCCCCTCCCCATCAGTGTCTGGCTGATGGAACCCCAAAGGTTCCAGTATTGGCCGTATCTCACAGAAGTTCAGATATACAAGACATCAGCTTTCAACCATGGAAACCCTCCACCCAGCAGAGAAGTCAGCAACCCAGGCTCCCAGGAGCAGAGGGACACACAGGGACTGAGGGGAACAGATCCAGGCTCCATGGCCATCTACACAGCTGAAGACCATGCAAACCACTGGCCTCCCTTCCTGCCCTTCCCAGTTGCCTACTCCCCCACCCCCCACCCTCATGTGACTCTTCTGGAGATATTATGTAGCTATACCCTCAGAACTGAAACATTCCTCTTAGGAGGCTCCTAAGACTCCAGAGGCTAAATGAAACTTACAAGATTCAGGAAGTTCAGAAAGTTACAAGATTCACAACCCCCCTCCCCCATTATATAAACCATAACAACTGTAGGGGACAGAGCAGTATTCCTGAGTCCTCACCCATGATGCAGCTACCCTGAGTCACCCATTCTCCTATAAATTAAAAAAAACCACATTAACCTCACTGGCTCAACCCAGCTGCACTTGGGTGGACTTCTTTCTTTAGTCTGCTGTCAGTGTCCTACCTAGGGTGAACAGATGGTTCCCTATCTGAGATGAAGTTACTTGTTCACAACTCCCCAGTGACATGACAAGGGACCAGAAGCACAGACTGCTGATTGGCCCACAGCCAACTCTCTGCCTATAACAAGCTATGTGTTAACTACTAGTACAGTACCCCCCACACCATCCCACCAGCCCAGGAGCACCTTGCAAGGCTGATGATGGCCAGCAAGGGTGGGGCTCACCTTGACACTGCGGTGGTGGACCCGCGAGGGCTGGCACTTAACACTGCTGGTGTTGCAGCAGCCTGTGCAGCGCTTCACCTCCACACACGGGGGCCAGATCAGAAAGTTGGCGGATGTGGGGTCCACCTGGCTCCGAGGTATCTCGTAAATGACCGTCCTGGTCTTGCAAACGGCAGGAATGGCTTCCTCTGCAGAGGAAAGAATGCCATGAACACAGGAATCAAGAGGATCCCACATCAGCACACAAATGTGCTCTCCTGACCTCCCTACCCTACTCTTCACACTGAGCCTGGGCAGGACCTGTCCCTGTCTCACAGTCTCCAGAGGGAGCAAGCACACTGTGGGCCCACAGGCCCCTGCAACAGAAGCCCAAGGGCTAGGTAGAGAATAGCACTGCTGGCCTAACTCTAAAGAAACAGTCAAAACAAGTTGAGTAGGACACTGAGGGCAGCACTCAGCAAGTCTGGGAGAGAGAGAATGTACAGAACTGAAACTTGTATCAAAGTTACAGAGTTCAAGGCCTAGAATTCCCCAGTGAGGGGCTGGGACGTGGTTCAGTGGTAGAGCACCTGCCTAGACTCTCCCAGGGAGAGATTAGGGGCATGGCTCAGTGGTAGAGCCTAGAATCCCCCAGTGAGGGGCTGGGGTGTGGCTCAGTGGTAGAGCTCCTGCCTAGAATCCCCCAGTGAGGGGCTGGGGGTTGGCTCAGTGGTAGAGCACCTGCCTAGAATCCCCCAGTGAGGGGGTGAGATGTGGGTCAGTGATAGAGCACCTGCCTAGG